GAGGTCAGGAGTGAACCAGTAAAGCTGACAATACATACAGGTAAAATACGTATTATGGACTTTGTAAACAGAAAAACGTAATGCAATGGTATACAATACAAACAAGCACCCAATACTATTGTCTCTTAAACTGGGTCCTTAGATTCAACAATTTGCAAACTTATTAAAAACTGACGTTTAAGTAATGAGAATGAAACTGGATTATTTTATAACGTCTCATCACTGCTGTGGTCTCAGCACGAATCATCTAACACACCAATGCTTGAATGTTGTCACATTTCCTTAGATCACGAGGCCGTCTAAGTCGTAAAGTGGGTCTTGTGGAAGGTGATACTAACGTGTCACATTGTGAGTAATAGCAGGCCCGTAGCCAGCAATTTCAGAGGGGGGGGGGGGGGGGTTCGTTTTCTGAAAAAGTGGACCTTTTACCATAAATTCCTCAAGTACATATATCAAATTTTACCCAGAATGGACCTTTACCAGCCAAAAGGGGTGGTTCTTTCGAATCCCCGAACCCCCCCCCCCGGCTACGGGCCTGAATAGTTACCATCAAATACCATCAAATAATATTATATATAATACTAGCTATTAAACCATGCTTACAGTACCATCAAACCCAATCGTTAGTTACGAAGCTTCGGCCACTGACTTGACAGTGAAATGGGTCAAGATAAATGAACCATGTGTGGACAAAATCAGGATAAAATATTGGGTTAAAGGAGATGGTACAAAACCTACACAGTTACCTGATATTACTGACGTATCTGCGACTACAGTCAGCATACATAATCTCCAACCAAGTACTTCGTATATAGCAGAAGTCACTTTTCACTGTGGAGACAAATCGAGCACAAGTGGTCCGATTGATATTACTACTGGTAAGTCCTTTACTCGTGTGGCACTTATGACTGTAGCGTATATACCCTTGTACTAAAGACAGTGCAATTCTCGACATAGAGGAATATAGGTTATGTAAAAGAGGTCAAACATGACAAGGTTGACCAACTGAACAACCCAACATCAGCAAGCAAAGTGGTCTGAGATTCCAACTAGCACATCAGTGAGACGGTTCTGGGAGACATACTGCGTAAACTGTCACTACGTGACACCGGTGACAAAACGGCAGGTAATTTTGAATTACAAATTACAGAGGAAAAGTATTTAAATAGTACATTTATAAAAGCAAATTTATATAAGCAAAAATGTTCATTTGCTTGGTAGTTGGATCATACATGAAAATTATCAAACACAAGCCTAAAAATTTCCGTACCGTTAGCTTACGACCAGCCAATAGCGATGTTACATAAGAGGCTACGATGTATTATATGGGGCGAGTATGGGAGATACGCTTGCGCTCGGTCGCGATGCTTTCGAGTTACAGGGCCAGTTTGGAAATATTTCTATATAATGGTGTCCTCCACTATATGGTTTCTTGTAGACGTGAATTATTTAAAAGTCGTAGTATATTAATATCTGAATTGTAAACGTAATTTTGTGGGGTCATGGCATGTTGTGATCAGGATGAACACTATGTCAATATTTGGAGGAAAAAGTAAAACTACACCCGGTGTTTATCACGATGAAGTCATGATTGCTGAACATGTATGCCGTTTCGGGTTTCAAATTAGGAATACAAGTACAGGGAAATGCAGTTTATATCGAGGCAGACATGTAAAGCGCTTAATAACTGGAAATAATAAGTATTAGGAATAGTATCATAATTTTTGTGAAAGTGCAATTTTGTTCAGTTGTATTACAGTAGAGATAATGACTGTTGAGTCTCATACTAGATCTTACGTTTGAAATGGACTTCATCAGCGATATTATTGTCGCCTTCTTCAGGCGAATGAACGTTGAGCTTGAAATCCAGATTATAGAGAAGGGGTATGGTATGAACAATCAATCACATTTGATTTAATATTAAGTAAATTTATATATCATTGTTGATTAAAGCCCAACCCAACGCCATTGCATCCAAGCCCTTATATTCAGTTGGTTACACTTTTTTGCAGAGCTTGTCCCTCCAGCAACGGTTTTCCACACGTCAGTATCTACTTCGTCGGTCGACATCGAATGGGAGAAGCCGAAAGGCCAGTATAACAACATCGTCGTCACTCTCACAGACTTGGTAACTAAAAGGACAACTACGAAAAAAACAAAGGAACTCAGCATACAGTTCACTGGTCTCCGCCCTGCCACTTACTACCGTGTAGACGTCTTGACGGTAAAAGGACCAAATGAAAGTGATGTCAGGTCTCACAATTTCCATACAGGTATATGTAGGGGAGACCGGGGCTAGTTGGCCCAGTTAGACACTTTTGGCCTTGTAGAGCCAACTAGGAGTGGGATAGAGTAACAAAACCGGTTTCAAAGTAAGCCCTATTAACTAAGCTACGTATGCAACGTCATAATTTTTCAAATATAATGCCAGGTGCCTCACAATTTGACAAAAAACGCAGTTGACGTCAGGGGGGCCAACTTGCCCCGCCATGGGGCAAGTTGGCCCCAGGGTCGGGGCAAGTTGGCCCCCCTATACGAAAATGAAGTATATATCCCATGTAAACGCCTTGAAATACATTTTTATAAATTTTTAATTTATTTAATTGATTTTTGAGAGTCTTTGATGAATAAACAGTTCAAATGAGGCAGATTTATTGATGTTTCCATACGTCACGTTGGGGGGGGGGGGATATGTGTTGCAAGAACCAAAATATCTATCAATAAAATGTGTTTTGTTATAATTAAGAATAAATAAATAATGGTATAAAGAAGGTTTTTAATGAATGAAAACGAATAATAAATTTTCTTTCTAAAAGAAAGTAACAAATTCAGTTTTAAACCATTGAGTTTGTTTCAACAATGGTCTCTAGCTAGGGAGGGGTGGAAAATCCCCTTGGGGCCACATATAACACTATAAATACAAAGGGAATCCCCTTACAATGAATTAAGGCAAAATAAATGTTTTTCTACGGAAAGTCCAATGGATTTGCTTTTTAATACTTACAATCAACAGAATATTTCTAATATAAATTTTCAAAAAGACACCAGAGAGAAAATTAAAAAAAAAATCAATCAGACGGTAATAGACACCGGCAAGCTTTGTCAATTTCACCAACTTGTTTATTTCAAACAGCGTTGTGCGCAAAGGTTTGTGGGTAATATGAGGGTCCAACTTGCCCCGAGTCAAGGGGGCCAACTAGCCCCGGGTGCACATTATTTATTTTAAAGGATAGTAGCCATTTATGGTGCTAGAATGAGCAACGATGATACATCTCTGTGAAACTTGAAGCAATGAGCTTCAGTTTGATGCCCTATACATATCTTATATTCGATCAAAAGCCTATGAAAATAGATTTTTAAATCTCTTAAACAAAATTACTTTTAGGTGCAAAAATCGTTTATTTCGACTCACCGCTTAAGTAAAACTTTTTAACGTCCGACACTTCCTTAGCATTGTAGGCTACGGTCACTTTGCAAGAGTATGTGGCCAATTTTTTTTTTACCTCGTAGTCACTTTTTCATAAATTGACGGGGGGCCAACTTACCCCGGGGTCCAACTAGCCCCGGTCTCCCCTACTGTGTATATATTTTAACCCCCCCCCCCCCAAAAAAAAAAAAAATCCCCATTTTAATCACACTTTGAAAAATACATGAAAATAGAGAATGTAATATGTTCTTACCATTAAATTTGATTAAACAAGTAGGGAACCCTACTTTATAGATAGATAGATAGACTTTATCCTCATATACATTGTTGCGTACATTTACAGATCCTTTGCCCCCCACGGGTATATCTGTCAACCCCGCAGCGAATACAGCAAACATATCTTGGACTTATCCGGATAAACTGGAGGACGGGAGCATCACTTTTGAAATCAAGTATTGGGAAGTGACCTCTCGAGGATCTGAAGCTTGCCTGACAGTGTCTTCTAAAACCTTGGAGACAACACTTGAGTCATTAACACCAGGGTCACAGTATAAGGTACAAGTGAAGACTGTCTTTCAAGGAACGAGGAGTGACGGTTTCAAGGAGGCATCGTTTAGCACCGGTAAATAACTTATTGTCAAGCATTTTGTAGTGTTTGGTAATGATAGAATAGTAGCAAGAGAAACCCATGGCTTTGTTTAGATTGCACTTGTTTTATTATTGCCATTTATTGGTTCCGGATTGTACATATAGTGTTTATACAAAGAAAAAAATTGACCTTGTGGTAAACATAGTTGCAGGTTGTACATGTGCATATTCCTGGCAATTTTTGTTACGATTACGCTAAACAGTCACTCAACATAAAGTTATTATGGCTCAAGTATGCCTGAATCATACTGTTGATTTTAATTCTTAAATGGAATTATAACTATGAATACGCAATTAAATGATACATCCGTTGAATCTTCTCTCTGGTTTCTATAGCCCTGCTTTCCCTTTTCATGGGTTAAAGCAAAACATGTGGTTTATTGAGTATTTACACAGGACTTACTGCGAGAAGAATGCACTTGTGATTTTATTTCATAATTTCAGAGCCACCTGCTGTAAGTAATGTACAAGTGCAAGGGTTTTCCACCTATGCCGACGTGTCCTGGAGGCCGACTAGTCATGGAAAGGTCAAGAGGTATGATATCGTATTTTGGCCTGCTCACAACCCATCAGCAAAGCGAAAGACCACGGTTCAGTATCCTGCAGGCACGGGGTCCATTATTGACCTTAAACAAGGGACCAAGTACGTCGTGGAAGTGAAGTCCAGTGTAGATGGGCGCGATAGTCAAGGTGGCGATAGGAAAACGTTCTATACAGGTAACGCGTGATGGGGAAATTGGGAAAAAAAAAAAAAATATATATATATATATATATATATATATATATATATATATATATATATATATATATATAGGCATATATTTATTTCAATTCTGATTAAATTGTTTCATTTAGGCTAAATTAGGTTTTGTAAAAACAATAGAATATATTTATTTCAGTCAGCGATGCAATTTGTGTATAAACCATGAAAATACACAATGTTATGATTCATCTAATTCCGTTTCCGTTTCTCAATTTCCGCTTCTTCAACCTAGTTCCCTCACCGCCGTGGATTTGCAATATTGATGCTGCACTAGATTCAATCAAACTCAAATGGAGTAGAAAGGAGGATGAACCAGATGTCACCGATACAGTAGTCACATATCGTATACCTGGCTTTACTCAGAAAATAACTGAACGTTTATCTACGAGAGAACCCCAGCAGCTCTTGATATATTATATGATGCCAAACACACGTATTGAAGGCTATGTTGAACTATTGTGCGGAGATAAAACCAGCGACAAGGCACATTGGTCGGCAACAACAGGTATGTTACAGCATCACCTGCAGTGAGGTCCCAATTGAGTTTTTAAAACAAAATAAAAAAAATCAAGTTAATATATTTTTTCCCTTTAAACATCCTTTCATCTTTGCGCTTTATTTTTCAGACTAAGACATGCAAAGTTCATCAGCATTGGTCATCTGGTCACAGTTTCAGTATCATGCATTCGTTATTTACATTGCTATATAATTTGACTCAAAACTTTATAGAGTGTTAGATTTGATTGCGCTGATTTCAGGTCCCATTCAAACAGGAAATATACATGTTGGCTGTATATCAGAAACAACAGCTCTTTTGTCGTGGGCAGATAACGGTACTGCAGGGACTGTAGAATATCGTGTTGATTATAAAAAGAAATCACCATGGGCGAAGCGGTTTACGAAAGGCACACATGTACCCAACCTGAAACTGACAGACTTAAAACCTGGGACAGAGTACATGGTGGCAGTATCAACTGTGATTGACGGTGCTGACTCTGAAACCAAAACCACAACAGAATTCACCACACGTAAGCATTCTAGAGTGAATTGCACAGCTTCGTTTGTGCTTATGAGCGCCTGAGTATTGACATTGGTTAGTATCTTTGAAATAAAACGTTGGTATGCAATTATCATATGCAATTGTGCTTTTCCATTTCTATGCAGGTTTATTAAAAACACATTCTGGGCGTACTTATGTGAATAAGTGTGAGGTGAAACCCCCAACGTTGTTTACCGTATTTAGGAAAAAATGTAACTTGAACGTAACCAAGCACAACGTTTATATATTTTGTAACGCCACTGTATGCATTGTTCACAGTAAACATGGAATCAAATGCCTTCTCCGATATTTTATACAAATTTTAACACCAATAGGCCCAAGCAAACCAACCGGTGTAGATCTTGCGGGTAGTCCAGCTGCGGAATCGGCAACCATCGAGTGGAAACGTCCTGCGCACTATGAACAATGAACAATTTCCCTTAACTAAACGGTGGTTAAAACTGTGTTTCATAAACAGTGTTTAATCAGTCGGTTTGTTGACTGATATTTAAACATTTTATCCAGTCAAACGCTGGCCAGTTAACGGGTCCGGTGTTAAGAGAATTTGTCCACTGGTTAGGCTTGAAGGTACACTGTTTAGTGATAAACGCCCTTTATGAAACTGGGCCCTGGAGTTTGGTAACAATGTTAGATTTATCCGGCAGCAATTAAAAATCTAAGTCACTTCAACTCCAATAACCCAATGTCTTACGAGACACCTTTATCAAACCACGAGGCTTTTTAAAATTATGTCCTGAGAGATGGATATTTCTACAAGCTCTTCTTGCAGCACATGAAGAAACGCCAAGTGCATGAATATGAATGTTTTATATGCATTTAATTCTTTCAGAGCCGCTGCATACTGGGATAGGGGCCGGGTCAAATGCGGTATGTAAATATTTTGTCCGAACTTAAATATGAGTTAAGAAAGATTCTTTCGGAATTTGAGAATTTGCTTGGGAACTTTCGGAATTTGCTTCTAACGTAATTTTCTCATCCACGCTACTTTAACGCCATTTAACACTTAAACATGCTTGATATACCTTGGTTATAATTGTTATTTTTGTGTTATGCTTCTTGTTATTTCGTGTAACCTTGAGCGAAAAGGACAAGTGTCGTCATTAACTTGGACGCCGATGTTAAAAACATGTCGCTTTGTTTTCCAGCGCATATCATTCAGTCTAAAATTAGTCAAAACAGAGCATAACGTCTCAGGGGGTGCAGTAGGCGGAGCAATTGGTCCCCTTGTTTTGGTGGTTTTTGTCAAAGGGGCAAAATACCTTCCTAATACAAGAAAACCTAAGACATTTACTAGTTATTGTTTGGGGTGAGTAAAATTCACATGAAAGTCTGCGTGTGATACGATTTACATGAGTTTTATTGATAGTGAGGTATGGGAGTTGCGTAATCAAATAAATTTGACGTTAAGTTTATTAATGGGAAATGACATGCATTTTAATGGGAGCACGATAAAGCATAACGCAGACAAACATATCGGCGTGTAAAACACATATGCAAATAAAACATTTATAATTTCAGAACAATATACCCCAAAAAGGGAAAGGAGAAAGCCCATGATACAAAGATATGCACGGGGCCCAATCCTACATGGAATGAGCTATTGGAATTTAACGTTTTGTCTGTTGATTTTTTAAGAAACAAATGTTTACAACTCAAAATAAAGGAATATTTTAGAGTTGGACAGGATGTTCCAGTCGGAGGAATACGACTTAACATGGGGACAGGTTTGTATAATATAGGTTTCTTGTTCTTTTTTATTCAAATTTAAAAAATAATCGGTTAATCGCTTAAAACTTAGTCGCATGTCAAAGATAAGATTGATTTTTGTCATTAAGATTTATTTTTCTACACGGTACAAACAGTTGGGTTATTAAAATAAACTTGATAATAGTAAGACTTATACTTTGTTCCCAGCTCCTTTCTTAGCGTGATTATGTTTTATATTCTTATATTGTAGGCAAGTTCAATGGCAATTCAGTGGACTGGATGGACTCCACGGATCAGGAACAAGAAGTGTGGAAAGCATTATTAGATTCTACGCTTGGGGAAGAAATCACTGCCGATTTACCACTAAGACATTTACAAAGTTAGACGATAAAACACATCAACCTAGCTTGAATTAGTTAACTGTACGTTTGTGTACAGCGTGAGTCACCTTGGGGGTATAATTCTGTAATGAATTATCAAATGAACCCGCTGTACTAACTTTTCTATTAGAAGTGAACGTTTACAATTCTCTTAGTCATGTAGCACCCCCTAAAATGGAGACGACTTTTTAACACATTGGATTCATGTTTGATAGCGAGTTTGCATGAATTTCATCTAAGACCTTTTTATCTCTCTTCTACAAGCCTCTTTCTCCCTACAGATACAGTATGTACAAGAAGTTAAATTCTTAAAATCTGATAGTTATGTCTTTCTATATTTTAATTCAAACAACTGTATCTAAAATCTATTAATATTTAGGTCTGTGCCTCCGTGAACAAATTTTGAAAAAGGGCAAAGGTACTTCAGACTATCGAAGTAGCTAATTTTTCCATTTCAATAATATTTGCCCCATTTCAGTTTTTATTTTATTTTATTTTTTTAAACTTAATTTATGAGGGTTAAATATGTTAAGCGTAAGCTTATCTTCCACATGGCCCTCTGTTACGAGTCATTCAACAGTATTTGAGCTGCCTTTTGTATGGTTGTGTGACTATTTTATCTTAGTAGGAATATACATGTAAATTAGAATCAAACCCAAAGTATATTTGTTGATTGGTGTTAGTCTATACTTATATTGGAAGCGTATGGATTGTATTCTAATTTTTCATGTGCTACATATGTACGTATTATATGTAGGCCTATGTGATCGGGATATTTCATTATTGGATATGTTTTATACTGTAGAACAACGTTGTGACAGAAGGGTGTTTTACATATTACAATTATGTCTTTGTCATAACGAAAACCGCAAAAAAATTTGGTGTTGCCTATTGCAACATTCCCTTTGTCGTTAGGTTAATCACACCTAATGATTTTTGTGTAATGCCTCCATATTTCAATGGCTTATCATTATGCATCGTAGTATGCACTATTGCATTAGGTGATAGTTTATTTTCTCTTTCATAACTTAATACATTAATGAGCAGGAAAATGAAGATCACCCACTTACATAAGTTGTATTATGTGTAATTTAATTTGTGGATTTGTGTTTTCTTTTAAAATTTCAGATCATACATTCAGATAATTTAAGTGATAATAGCATCTTTTGTTACATGTACCACCGGGTACAACCAATCCCTTACAGAAGCCTGTTATACAATTTGTGCAGTTTAATGGATGCCACTTTATATATATATATATACGAGAATGTTCAGTGAGCTTGAAAGGCACCTTCAATGTCTTGTTGCAATTCTTTTTACCCCGGTCACACCTACACGACGCAGGGTCGGCGCACGGCCGACGCGCTAAAAAATTTGGCAATTTTGGCCAGTGCGCTGTTATGCGTCTGCATTCGTCAAACGCGCCGGGTGACAGTTATGCATTCGTTTTCATTCGCTCTTGTGCGTCTGAGTTTTTGTGCATGCACAAAAATGTGCGTTCATCTCGACGCATGAACTTACACGTCATAAGGTCGCTCGGCATTCGCGGAGGCCGCTGGATCAGCGATAATCAGACGTTGCATAAACGCTAGGTGTTCGTTTCAAATTCGTTGGCTTTGGCGTAGAGAGCACACAGCATGCTTCCACCGCATGTGTAGCGAACATGCAGCGACTATAAACGAATCTCTAACGAACCAGAACGAACGTTGAACGTCTGTATAACGCAGCCAGCGTAATTGTAGCGCGCCTCTGTCGTGTTATTAGCGTGTCCCAAGCATGCGTGTCCTGAGCCTAGCGTGTATCCATGGTATATACATAAATGGGTCCTCTGTATCCACATCACTTCTCCACTTATGCTGAATAACCGCTTCATAATATGGAAGATCTTGACAGGCTGCGATTAGAATACAAAACTTCAGTTCTCCAACATTCTCATAACGTCATGGAACTTGCACTCCACCAAGCCTGGCGAACCGTTTACAAGTTCTACCTAGGACAATGCAGCGGCAGCCCAAGGCCATCAAAAAGATTATAATAGCAAGCATCATCCTCCACAACCTTATGAGGACCCGGTATTCACTGCAGAGCCAGCAAATTCTGCAAAAGTTGGACGCACAACAGCGCATTTGGCTTATTTTCATGCGCAATGCATGCGTACCTCGTGCGTTCTGTAGGTGTGACCGGGCCTTTACAAGTTAGAAGTCATGTCTTATAGTCCGGTTGCTTAGGGCAAAAAAATGGCCAAATCGTGACACAGCGGATAAAAGCACCAAATTTTGCATGTGGGTACCTTTTGACATACTAAATCAAATATGAGCCGTAGCCCACGGAAAAAAATTACCGTTTGGCCAAAAAATCCAAAATGGCCGCCAATTTGTGAAATTTTGTAGAAATATATACATATCTGTGTTGATTTTTATCAAATTAAGTATTTTCTCAATGTTTTCCACATCCTTATTACACATATTATGCATATGTGTCAGAGAACAAACTAGTGTCCTTGGACTTATTGAAAAATCCAAGATGGCCGCCGTATGGCAAAGGAATACTAGAACATGTACAAGGGTTTTCAACTAACTAATGCCAACTAGGAAGATGCATTGCCCACTATCTAATTAATTTTGTTTCTTATTGCACAAATAATATACTTGTGGTGAGTAACTAACCTTTATTCACAGGCAATTCGAGAAAAATCCAAGATGGCCCCCATATCAAAGGAATACTAGTATACACATAGGGCTTCTTCTGCCATGGAGATATAATATTAATTGATAAATTAGGTTTGTTTCTGAGTATTTTCCACATCTTTTTAATTCACATAATACATATGTGATGAGAATGTTATGTGTATCCTTTTTGAAAACAAAACAAAAAACAAAATGGCTGCCATTAGCCATAGAAGGTGGGGTTCAGTTAATACCTGCGAGAGATAGGCTTACAAATAAAATGAATCTGAATTCAGTTGTTATTCTGTTTTTCAGTATTATTATCCCATGATACATATCTGCTAGGTAATTAATGTCCATATTTTATCATTTTGGGGAAATCCAAGATGGCCTTCTTTTCCCTATAGGAAAACTGGTGCATTAGATTTTATAGACACTTCTAAGGCAAATGAGGGCAATCATGATATTTTTTCAAAATACTTAAGGGTATACACTTGTTACCCACCTGATAGATATCTAAAAGTCCATAAAGAAAGTTGGAAATACCGAGAAACAAAATTCATTTTATATTGAACCCAATGTCTCTCCGGCAGTAGTTGACTGTACTATTCCTATTGTGAATTGCAGCAATCTTGAATTTTCTCAAATACGCAAGA